TTCTAGAAAGCAAAGAAAGGCTCAGAATGATGGAGACATGTTAAAAGGATGCAGGATACTACATTAAGGGGATTCCAGTGACCACATCTAGTTCCATTTGGACATCAAAATAAATAATGACTAACAGAATATAACTTATAGAATAAAATTAGAAGCCATACAGAAAAAATTAATAAATGGATACATAAATAGATGGGGAGGAAGGGAATGTTTTTCCTTGTAGTTCTGTGTCAAGTTAAAATATAGAAGGAGTGATAGAATTATGAAGTCACCCTTTGGTAACTACCATAGCAATTACTATTTCAGGTAAGAATTATAAAAATGCAGTATCGAATGGGCACGGTGGCTCATGCCTTTAATCCCAGCACTTTGGGAGACTGAGGTGGGAGAATTGCTTGTGAGGCCGGGAGTTTGAGACCAGCCTGGGTAGCATAGTGAAACTTTGTCTTACAGAAAAATTAAAAAATTAGCTGGGCGTGGTGGCGTGCACGTGTAGTCCCAGATACTCGAGAGGCTGAGGCAGGAGGATCACTTGAGCCCAGGAGTTCGAGGTTACAGTGAGCTATGATTGCAGCACTGCACTCCAGCTTGTGCAACAGAGCAAGAACCTGTCTCAAAATAAATAAAATAAAAAACAAGTAAAAATACAATACTAATGAATCAAAGTTTGGCGAGAAGCTGTTTAAATAATCTCAGAGAATCTGTCTACGGATACTTAACTAATTGCAAAGGGGAAAATAATAACTTTAACATAAATATAGTTGGCAGGCACTGCCATACTCATGACATCATGTGCTTCCTGATGTTTAGAAGCTTGTTTTTTAAAGCAAGCATTTTTATTAATCCTTATTTTTCTGTGTTTTAAAGAGATCGGTGAAGTCAAGTCTTTAACTTGAACCTGATAGTGGAACATGCAGAAAGCCAAACAAACACTGTTTTTGTTTTTGTTTTTTTTAAGGTGAGTGCTCCAGTTGTAACATCTACCACTCAGGAGAAGCCAAAGGATAGTGATCAGTTTGAATGGGTGACAATTGAACAGTCAGGGGAGTTAGTTTATGAAGCACCAGAAACAATTGCAGCGGAACCTCCACCTATCAAGTCAGCAGTACAGACCATGTCTCCCATACCTGCCCATTCTTTGGCTGCCTTTGGACTGTTTCTTCGTCTTCCGGGATATGCCGAAGTGCTACTGAAAGAGAGAAAACATGCCCAGTGTCTTCTTCGATTGGTATTGGGAGTCACAGATGATGGAGAAGGAAGTAAGTGTTTAGTGTTATTAATTAAATTTTTTAACACATACTTAAGTAGGTTGCGTAAAGTCCAGATCATTGCCTATTATTCATCATTTATTTCTTTCGTAGTTAAGCTATTAGGTGATTTGTTGGCAGCTCATTTCTAGTACTAGACATAATAGAACCTAAAGAATCTTCATTTTAATTTCTGTATTCATTCAGGAAGTATTTACTGAGTGCTTACAAAACTGCTGGGCATCAATGGAGGGATTTAAACTTGAAGCAAGTATTTAGATCTGTTGTCAAGTAGCTAATGTCCTCCAATAATAACGAGGAATGTATATAAACATATTGACTTAGCAAATTATAAAAAGCCTTGCACACACTTGAGTGCAGTGTTGTGGAGGCTCACAGGTGTGAGATTATTTCTTTATTACCCAGCGATATGAAATCAGTGGCATAGTAGTTTTTTAGTATGGCCTTGTAAGATAGATTTAGGTTGGGATGAGTTATTTCATAAAGAAGGAATCATGTGAGCAGTGTTTGGAGGTTCAGAATATATGAGAAGGGATAAGTTAGCTGATGAAAGTTTGCGTAAAAGGAAGCACTAAGAGCTCATTTTAAAAGCTGAAATTAGTAACAGATTATGGAAAGGTTTATTAAGAATGTTAGATTTTATTTTGAAAACAATGAAGATTTTTTAAAAATGTGTTAATAAGCAAATTAGGGATGTAATGAGAATAGTTTTTTAAGAAAGTAAATCTTTAAAGAAAACAGACTTAGAAAGTAATGATATGTAATGTATGTAATAATATCAAAGAATAATGGAAAGTTATGGTGATTATTTTCATTGGGTTGGCATTGTTATTTAATAGAAGGAAAGAAAGAAGGAAAAATTATAATTGGAATAGCCTAGCAATTAGATTTTCATTTGGTTTACTTCTTGTTCAGTCAATGACCATGCCGTGAATATGAATAAGAAAATTATTATTTTCTTCTGTTATTTTAAAATCCTATAGTTTTGATTAGAATTGATTTCTTTCACATGCCATTTAGAAAGAATAAAGTGTTAATTAAACCCTGTGCCACAAAGTATATTTAATCTAATAAAACTGTGTAAATTTATTTGTGGATCTTGAAAGTCTAAAGCTATCAAATTCTCAAACTACATATTTTTTCTTTTGTATTTTCATAATGATGGAATCTTTCATAAATGCTGACATTTTTTATATGCTTTTGCAGTAATTTTTATTAAATTCCAGGTTCTCCTTAATAGTCTTGGTTGTTTGGTTCATGTATAAATTGTATTTACGGTTGTCCCTTAGTGTACATGGGGATTGGTTTCAGATCCACTTGCATATACCAAAATCCATGCATATTAAAGTCCCACAGTTGACCCCGAGGAGCCCATGTATATGGACAGTCGGCCCTCCATATACGTGGGTTTTGTATCCCACAAGTACTGTGTTTTCCATGACGTTCGTTTGGAAAAAAAATCTGTGTATAAGTGAAGCCACGCAGTTGAAACCTATGTTGTTCAAGGGCCAACTTTATTTATTTTAGTAGATCAGGAATTTCTAATTACTTGATAGAATTTTTTATTTTAAGGAGATAGAGTGGTAAGAACCATTGCATTTTTAAAATTTACATAATATTTCATATTTATGGGGTACATGTAATATTTTGATACATACATGCCATGCGTATTGAGAACTGTTGTATTTTAACAATCTGTTACCAGACCGGTAATAGGTGTAACCCTAAGCAGAAAAGAAAGAAAATTGCCTTTATGCCATTTCAAATTGTTCTTAGTGAATATACAATGAATATTCATTAAAGAGCATAATTATGATATCTCTTGCTGTAATAGTTGTCTCATCCACCATTCATGTAGTGGTGTTTCCTTTGCATTTAATACTCATTTCTGGCTAGAACATAATCGAAAACTGTATGGTGAAAAATAGTTTCACTCATTCAATATCTGTTCATGGTTAAAACTACTCCCAAGGCAAGCAGTTACTTTCTTAAAAGTTAATAAACTTAATGCTTCTTTTTTAGTGTTCAGGTTTTATTTTAAATACTAGTTTGTAGTAACATATATAGAGAACTGATATAATCTATTATCGTATATTTATATTTCAACCTTGTTTTGGAGTTCCGTATCCTATATCTTACAAAGCTTTTCCTGGCACTATATGTGATTAGATTTTAAGATATTACTGTTCTATTTGTGGTGTTTGGGTTGTTTTATAATAAATTTAGTGATACAATTTTATGTTACATTGTTGTTACTAATTTGTAACCCTGTATGTAGCTCCTTATTGTGTTTTTAAATATTTTTTTAAATTTTGAGTCCTCTTCTCTTTTCACTCTAGGTCATATTCTGCAATCTCCATCAGCCAATGTGCTTCCAACCCTTCCTTTCCATGTCCTTCGTAGCTTGTTTAGCAGTACACCTTTGACAACTGACGATGGTGTGCTTCTAAGGCGGATGGCACTGGAAATTGGAGCCCTACACCTCATTCTTGTCTGTCTCTCTGCTCTGAGCCACCATGCCCCACGAGTTCCAAACACTAGCCTCAATCAAGCAGAGGTAGGTTCAATTATAATTCTTTTGGTTATGAAAAGTAAATTTAATTCTTAGAGTGCAGAATAAAGTGTTTTTCTGAAGTAATTAGTATTTCAGGGACTGGGATGTTCCCTTTTTTATACCTAAAAGAATATTTGAAAGAGAAACATTAAATTAATTGTTTTCTCTAGGTATAAAACCACAGATTAACTCATCTACTTGAAAAACAGAAAAGATTTAAGAGTATTATAAAGTTTCCCATTTACCAAGACATGCTGAATTTATGCTGTATCCTTCTTCCTTTCCTTTATTGTACTTTAGAGAATACTACTATGGAATGGGAGGGCCTAGCCAGTACAGTAACACAGGGAAAATAAAAATGGAAAAAAATCCTCATTATTTCTATATGATTTGATTGTGTTTATAAAAATAAAGATAATTTTTTATTTTAATAAGGTGTTTTTTAACCCGATGTTTCCAAAATATTTGAACTTTAATGGTTTTAAATTTATTTATTGTTAAGCTATAGTGCTAGTAGTCAAAGGATAGAAGTCTAACAAACAACAGAGAATCAAACCCACATATATATGATTACTTAATATATGACGTGTGACTATGCAACATTATGAATTAAGTATGGTCTTACCAATAAATAGTGATAGCTCAATTTGGTATCCGTGTGGAACAAAAATGAATCTTTAAACTTACGTGCTCTGTATGCAAAATTACTTCTAAGTGAATGATAGATCTAAATGTATACAATGTATAAAAATATGTACAATACCCATTTGCAAAAATTTTTTTTGTAAAATGGTAAAAGGCAAATACTTTTATGAACTTGGAGTAGACGAAGATATCTTGAACAGGATACCCCCCAAAATAAAGCACTAACCCAAAAGGAAAAAATTGATAAAAAAAAAAAAGCAATTACATTAAAATTAAGAACTTCTTTTGAAAAAATACTATTAGAGTGAAAAGGCAAGCCACAAGGCTGGGCGTGGTGGCTCACACCTGTAATCCGAGCACTCTGGGAGGCCAAGGTGGAAGGATTGCTTGGGGTCAGGAGTTCAAGACCAGGCTGAGCAAGAGTGAGACCCTGTCTCTACTAAAAATAGAAAAATTAGCCAGGAGTGGTGGCATGTACCTGTTAAGTGCAGCTACTCGGGAGGCTGAGGCGGGTGGATCGCTCAAGGTCAGGAGTTCGAGACCAGCCTGAGCAAGAGTGAGACCCTGTCTCTACTAAAAATAGAAAAATTAGCCGGGAGTGGTGGCATGCACCTGTAACTGCAGCTGCTTGGGAGGCTGAGGCAGGAGAAGCACTTGAGCCCAGGTGCTTGAGGTTGCAGTGACCTAGGCTTACACCATGGCACTCTAGCCCAGGTGACAGAGCGAGACTCTGTCTCAAAAAAAAAAAAAAAAAAGGCAAGCCACAGAATGGGAGACTATTTGTGAGATATTTATAGATAGACTGATAAATAGATACATCAGGTAAAGAACTTATATCCAGACCATATAAAGTTTCAAAAGGGCAAAGGCCAACAACCCAGTAGAAAAATGGGTAAGAGACTTGAATGGGCACTTTACAAAAAGCAATCTAAATATCCAATAAATGTGAAAAGGTGTTCTCCATTAGTTGTCAGAAAAGTACAAACGAAAACTTTAACACACTAGGAGTACACACCGTCAGAGTGTCTAAAATTTCAAAAAGCAGCAGTACCAAATGTTGGGCCCATCAAAATTTGTAATAATGTAAAAACAATAGAATGGATAAAAGAAATAATGGAAAAAACCAGTAGAATAGATAAATGAGTTGTGATCTACTGCGTAATGGAATACTACTATAAAGTAACGAAAGTGAACAACTATAACCAACCGCACACGACAGCATTGATGAGTCTCACAAACACAGCTAAATGCCAGACATAAAGGAATACACACAGAATGATTCCATTGATGTAACGTTGAAAAATGAGACAAAACTAAACTATAGCAACTGGGATTTCATGCATAGGTGATAAAATTATAAAGAAAATTAAGGAAGTAATGATTATAAAAATCAGGATCATACTTAGCTTGGTAGAGTAATAAGGATGTGACGAATAGAATATGGAACGAGGGAAATTTCTGGGGTGCAGTGTTCTAATTCTTGACCTGAGTGGTTAAATAGATATTTGCATTGTGTTAATTCATTAAACATTACCTATTTGTTTTGTGCTCTTTTTGTATGTATGTTATACTTCACGTTAAGACATGTTTTTGAAATAAATAGCTTTTTAAAATTAGTAACACTGATTATGCTACTAGTAAATGTTTATATGGTAATGAAATTTTGATGACTTAACAGCTTATCTTCTAAAATGTGGAAGTTGGAATTTCACCAGTCATAGATACATAATACTATATATGTCACTTTATAAAAGTGCTAATTCTACATAATATTTTTCCTTAGAAAGTATTTCCATTAAAAGAAACAAAAAGCATTGGTGTGTTGCTTGTGAGTTACCTTTAAAACTAACATTTAATTGCAAATATTTTGAGGATATGTATGTATTATGTTAAATTTAACGAAAATTCTTTAAAGAAAGATTCTTGTTCCAGAATTATACAGTCCTCCACATAAATTATAATTAAGACTTCACCTTTACAGGGGTTAAGGTTATATTATTAAACCAGTGGCTCACAGTTATTTTTTCTGTTTCCACACCATTTTCATTTTTAATATTTCCTCTAGTCCCAAGAGATATTTGTATACCTCACATTCATAAGAAAGAAATTGAATATTACTCCTTCTAGAAATGGAATCTGTTTTATTCTGATTGAAAACATGTATGACACTTTGATGGAATTCTCCTGAGATATCCTTTTACTAGATTCACCCTAAAAGGATCTGGCTCATCTCCCTGTTCCTTTCACTGATTTCTCTATTTAATTTTGAATCGTTGACTCTTTAGGCTTTAAGGTGGTTTAACCCTTCTTTTCCTGATAAATATTATTAATCAATTAATTAAGTATTCTTAAATGTAAGCAGTTGCTCTCCATTTACCCCTTCGTCCAGCTCCTGCAACTGCCAATTTGCATTCTGTCTCTATTCTGGGTATTTCACATGAATGGAATTATGCAATATGATACGTTTTGTGTTTGTCATCTTTTATTTAGCATAGTGTTTTCTTCGAGGTTCATTCTGGTAGCATGTATCAGTACTTCACTTCTTCTTATGGCTGAATAATATTCCATTGTATTTGTTTATCCATTAATCCGTTGGTGGTGGGTGTATGGGCTATTTCCACCTTTCAGCTGTTTTGAATAGAGCTACTGTGAACATGCCTGTATACTTGTTTTAGTACCAGTTTTTATTTCTTTTGGGGGTGTGTGTGTGTGTGTGTGTGTGTGTGTGTGTGTGTGTATATATATATGTAGGAGTGGAATTGCTGGGTCACATTGTAATTCATGCTCAATTTCTTGAGGAACCAGCAAATTGTTTTTCATGGTAGCTGAACCATTTTATATTTCTGGTGATAAATGTTCCTGAAGGTAAATAAAACCAGATAGTAATAAATTTTTAACTTTTGTTTTTATAAGCCACAGGTGTCAAGCTCTCATAACCCTACATCAACAGAAGAACAACAGCTATATTGGGCCAAAGGGACTGGCTTTGGAACAGGGTCTACAGCTTCTGGGTGGGATGTGGAGCAAGCCTTAACTAAACAAAGGCTGGAAGAGGAACATGTTACCTGTCTTCTGCAGGTATATTTGTAAAGTTGATACCGTCAAGTTTCTAGAATTAGGCAAATGGACTAGTATAAAAAGTCTGTATACCACAGAAATGAGGAGAGATGCTTAACAAAAAGTTTACCTTTGGTTCCTGCATCAACTAATTGAAGTTGGTCAAGTCCTTGAGCGTTACCTTCTGCAATTCTAGCATGATAATGTTCATTCTAGTATAAAGTTCTAATCTTGGCTAGACGTGGTGGCTCACGCCTATAATCCCAGCACTTTGGGAGGCTGAGGCTGGGGGATCACCACTTGAGGTCAGGAGTTCGAGACCAGTCTGAACAACATAGCGAGACCTCGTCTCTACAAAAAAATTAAAAAATGAGCCAAGAGTGATGGGATATGCCTGTAGTCCCAGCTATTTGGGAGGCAGGGACAGGAGGATGGCTTGAAACCAGGAGTTTGAGGTTGTAGTCAGCCGCGATTGCTCCACTGTGTTCCAGCCTGGGTCACCATGTCTCAAAAAGAGGGAAAAAAAAGTTCTAAGGTTCCATTATCCTCAAACTATGAACTGAATTCATACAATAAAATATTACTGTAAATAATATTAGAGTTGCTATTGAGTTTTTAAGTTAATGTCCTTAGATGGATTGTTTTTGTATGTCTGGTCATGTACAGTGCACCATCCTTTGTAAGCAACACTCTTGAGCAAAACAGATCCTTCTCTTATGAAAATTTAAACAAAGTCTTATTTTTGAAACATAGTGTGAGACATTGATTAAATATTTACTAGTAAATATGTACTCTTAATATTCAGATTGAATGTCTAACATAAAATATAGACTCTTAAAGTATGTGTAAGGCGAACGTGATAACCACTACACTACGGAAACTTGAACTAGACTCTTAAAGTATGTGAAACTAGAATCTAATTTAATTTCAACAATTTTTATTTTTAGGTTCTTGCCAGTTACATAAATCCTATGAGTGGTGTGGTAAATGGAGAAGCTCAGTCATCTCATGAGAGTAGAGGACAGAACAGTAATGCCCTTCCTTCTGTACTTCTAGAGCTTCTTAGTCAGTCCTGCCTCATCCCAGCTATGTCATCTTACCTACGAAATGATTCAGGTAGATAATTAGTCTTTTGAAATACCTTTGTGGATGAATATTTTTGTTGACTTACTTTGTCATTATTAGTTTAAATAATGTTCAATTAAAATACTTCATGGATTTATTTCTTTCAGATTATTCTGGAAATATTTAATTGTTCTTTTGGTGCCCTTGATTTGATTCAGTGTCATCATTTGTTTTAGAACACAGAATAAAAGTTTTCATTGTTCCTTTGTATTCTGTGAAAATATATATATATTTTTTTAATATCCTGTAACTGAAAATGATAGGACAAAAGCTAACAGCATAATGACAATATTCTGATCTGAATATGGTTGAACTTCTATGTGTTTTTAATGTTTTTGTCAAACACTATAAAATTGCAGACAATTATAATTTTTGAGGAAAGGCAGGTAATAAATCATTCAGGTCCAAAGGTACTTGATAATAAGAGGATTAATTTTTTAAAATTTCATGATGAAAGTACTGTGGATACTTACTTTGCTAATATACAACTTGTTGATTGAAACTGGTTTATTATTTCCTTGGTTGTGAAGTTATCACCTAGAAAATACGTTCTTTTCCTAAATAAGAAGAAGTTACATATTTTCAGAGACCCTGAAATATATAGATACTGCCAAGAAAAACAAGCAGTTATCATCTACTTCTTTTTGCCAGGAACGTTAGGTTTATTTTTTATTATTTCACCTGCCTGTTACTCTTATCCTTATCTCTGCCTTTATTTATATTCTTACTCATGAAAATAATTATTTATGCATTTCATTAATTTATTAAGGAAGAATAGGTAAAGAAACTAGTCAGAATGAATCTTGAAGTAGTCTGGTGGTTGGTAGCAGCTAAGTTGCACAGTTGGATGGTTGGAAAAAGTCTTCATATTTGAAAAGGAATTACTACCCATATCCCCCGCTATTATGGAGATTATTGCGCTTCAAAGACACACCATTTCCCAGTCTTTCTCAAACTCCTTCATAAAAGTATTGGGGTGATTTGTTTTTTAGGTTGAATTTTTTTATTTAGATTGACCTGTTAGATATACATCAGATTGGTCTTTTTAAAAAAGTATATGTCCAATGCAAAATGTACTTTTTGATTAAGTAAAATATTTAAGACTGTGTGAAATTTAGATTATATAGAACAATAGAATAGGATGAGATAGATTTCTCTTTTTCTCACTTCCTCATCATTAAAATATTATTTTATTAATCCTTTTACTTTCAAGACCTATGACCTACCCAAATATTTTAAATTTCTCTCTTGTTCGGAAATTCACAGTTGTATAACACTGAACTTTTATCTTTATGGTTCAGGGTTAAAAGGGAAATCCAATATTATTTACATAATATTTAAAATAATCACTATTCATGTAAGTGTACTTTCTGGGAAGGTGTATATGTTAATAAATAAGCTGTGATTTTTGGTAACTAGATGGAATTGCAGAGACTTAGATATTATTTCTTGGAACTGGTTTATTTATTTTTAGTGGTTATATACTCAGTCAACCAATGAATACAAGAAGTACAATTTAGTGTATC